TCACTGCGACCCTATATGGCCGAATAGTACTACCTCGCAAGATTTTCCTAGGAGACTCTAGCGAGTGACCTAGTGGGTAGTTAGTTGCGCTGGTGACCTTGAGGTGGCGTCTCTCTGCCCGTTCCAGTCTTCTCCTCTGAGATTTGTAGCCTCAGAAACTCAGTGAAAGGTCAGCTATGAGTGGGTTCCAGCTAGTTGGCAACGAAAGGAGCAAGATTGAAAGGTGAGCCTTGGTTAGCCAGGGGGACCCAATGCAACCACAAAAATCCTTTATTGGTGACATGAAAGCAGAGAAGTGAAGAGAAAACAAAGCAATTGCTGGCTTTGAAAAAGGGAAGGAAGGAACAAGCCAAAGAAAGCAGGCAGCCTCTAAAAACTGGACTGGAAATATATAAGAAAATAGATTCTCCTTCAAGTGTCCAGAAGAAACTCGGACTCACCAAGCGCCTTGATTTAGGCCATTAAGACCAATTTTGGACTTCTGACCTCCAGAACTGTACAAGAATAGATTTATGTTGCCACTGAATTTGTGATCTGTCACAGCAGCAGTAAGTATCATAGAGCATATACAGTTACTGTTGGGACAGATGGGTGCTCAACCACTTAATTTATTCATCACTGAAGTGTTTATGAAGTAATTGCTGTAAGCCAGATCCTGTTCAGAAGCATGGCCAGCAAAGGACAAGTCATGGCTACTGGAGGTCCAGAGCCAGAGTTGTAGAAAGGTCAATGGTGATTTCTGCTCCTGTGTCATGAACCTTCTGGAGCAGATAGTAACCCCCCAGAATGGCAATGACCTGTTCGTGCTCTGACTAGGAAAAAGGCCACAGCGGTGAAGTGACTTCCTCAGGTTCCCACAGTGAGATGCTGGGACTTGTTACTGAGTCCCTCCTAGTAAATCTGTGCCAGTCTCAAGGAGAGTCACACACCTCTCGGGAGTGGCCAGGCTTGCCGGGGAGGAAAAGGTGACCCAACAAGACACAGGGGATACCCAGACTAGGGCAAGATGGCTGCAACTGAAAGCTAATGCAAATCCAGAGGCTCAAAAAAAATGTTTATTTTGCTTTCCTCTCAATAATCTGAATATTCCAGTTGTGAAATGGCCATCTTTGCCCTAAGTAGTGACCTAGAAATCTCCTTGCTTTTCTGCCATTCTCAGCTCTACCCATGGGGAACTCACAATCAAGTGGGAAAACGCTTGGAAGCAAGCAGGAGTGGCATCCACTTCCAAAATAGCTTGCCTTTGGAAACTATGAACGTGGAGAAATGATGAAAGTTATACGAGTATTCAGGTCTTTTGTTCATAGGATTGCTATGTCTATGACTCGACAACACTTAACAACAACAGGGAAGTTAGTTGTAACCAGAGATGAATCTTCCCACCAGGACTTTGACAGTGTTTTGAGACAATTTTGGTTGTTATGACCTGGTGTATGCTACTGGCATCTAGTAGATCTTTAATCTAGTAGGCTGCTGCTAATCATCCTCCAAAGCACAGGAGAGCCCTCACAGCAAGGTCTTGTCCTGTCCCAAAGATCACTAGTGCCGAGGGTGAGAAGTCCTGGTTTAGGTCTTGAGTGTTGCTTTATGTCTGTACTGAGTTATGTCACAGGGCCATTAATGTCCCCAATCAGAGGAAAGGGGATATAAACGTGGATTAACAGAGTCCAGAAATGGTCCTCCGGGGTCAGCTGCTTCTGTTGAAGAGAACCTAGCCAGACCTAACTGCAAGGGGTGCTGGGCTAAGCTTGCTAGTGTTGGCGGTGACATGGTTGGTGATGTGGCTGGTGGTCGATGTTGAAGGGCATGTTTTTGGTAAAACAAGCGGAGTGTGTATAAAGATGTAGATGGAATAGGAAGCTTGACAGAGCAGGTGCACTGAGATGATTCTGCCTGGATGGGATCTGGAGTGGGCAGGAGGGTAGGAGAGTGTAAGGATGGAGATAGGAGTAGCAGCTGGATTGCAAAATCCTGAAGTGTTGGCTGAGGAGTCTCCACTTTATCCTGATGGCAGGAGAAAGCCTCTTGACTTTCTGCTCAAGCTCACTTCTCCTTGATGGGCAGTCTTTACTTATACTACTCATCTATACAGTTGGGACCTTGAGAACATAGTCTGCTTTATGCCTGGGTTGTTGTTGTTGTTAAGTGCCGTCAAGTTGTAGGCAACTCATGTTGTTGTTGTTATGTGCCGTCGAGTCGTTTCCGACTCATAGCAACCCTATGCACAACAGCCCTAAACCCTGCTCTATCCTGCGCCAACCGCACTGCCTCTGACACACCCATCCCTATTATCCCAGTCACCGAATCAATCCATCTCATAGAGGGTCTTCCCCTCCTGCGTTGTCCCTCCACCCTCCCAAGCATGATGTCCCTCTCCAAGGACCCATCCCTCCTGGCAACATGTCCAAAGTATGTCAGACGAAGCCCCAGAATCCTTGCCTCCAAGGAGTAGCTTGGTTTAATCCTCTCCAAGATGAATCTGTTTGTTTTCCTGGCAGTCCATGGTACATTCAGTACCCTTCTCCAGCACCACAGCTCAAAAGCATCCACTCTCCTTCTGTCCTCCCTAGTCATTGTCCAACTCTCTGATGCATAACAAGCGATTGCAAATACCATGGCCTGTATCAGGCGCACCTTAATCTCTAGAGAGACACTGTTGCTCCTGAGTACTTTAGAGAGGTCCCTAACAGCAGACTTTCCCATCGCGATACGCTTTTTGATTTCCTGACTGCTGGTGCCAAGAGTGTTGACTGTGGAGCCGAGCAAACTGAAGCTGTGAACAATCTCAATCTCTTCGTCATCCATCCTGACGCTGCCAATTGGTCCAGTGGTGAGAATCTTTGTCTTCTTGACATTGAGCCTCAGTCCATACTGAAGACTGCAGTCCTTGACCCTTCGCAGCAAGTGCATGAGGTCCTCCTCAGTTTCAGCAAGCAGGGTTGTGTCATCTGCATAACGGAGATTGTTAAGAGACCTTCCACCAATCCTGATGCCACAATTCTCATAGAGCCCAGCCTCTCGGATAATCTGCTCTGCATCCATGTTGAAAAGGTATGGAGACAGGATGCATCCCTGGCGTACACCCTTCCCAATTTTGAACCATGCAGTGTTACCCTGCTCTGTTCTGACTACTGCCTCTTGGTCCAAGTATAGGTTTCATATTAGCACAATTAAATGTTCTGGGATTCCCATTCTTCTCAGAGTCAGCCACAGTTTGTTATGATCCACACAGTCAAATGCCTTTGCATAATCAATGAAACACAGATAGACATTCTTCTGGTATTCTCTGCTTTCAGTCAAGATCCATCTAACATCAGCAACAATATCCCTAGCACCACGACCCCTTCTAAACCCAGCCTGGACTTCTGGCAGTTCTCTGCTGATGTGCTGTTCTAATCGTTTTTGGATGATCTTCAGCAGAATCTTCCTTGCATGTGAACGAAAATCCTTGACACTTGTGTGCTGACTTTCATCCTCTCTCCAGATTCATAGGGTTTCCAGAGGCAAGCTATTTACGGAAGTGGATGTCACTTCTGCTTCCAATATGCCTGGGTAGTTTTTTGCTAAATCCAAGAGTCCTAGGAGCATTCTCGGTGGAGTGCTGATCTTTCCTGGCCTGATCACTGACTTCATAGACCTCCCAGACCTAACTCCCCATACTGCTCCCTCATCACTTTACCACTCACCCTTGTCACCCTGGTACGCTCTCTAATCACTGTCCTTCATGGTTACTAATCAGGCTCCACGCTCAAACACAGATCCACACACAATGCCACAGGTTTTTCAAGCCCTACACAGCCTCCCCAGGCATCGCCTACATGGCACCCCCCTTGTTGAGGTCTCCTGAGCCTTCAGCTTGGCTCTTTAAGATCCACTGACGTTGATACTCAGATCCTGGTAAGGTCTAGGCCTTTGCTTTGGGAATACATGCAGACAGGGCAGACCTGCATGGACCATTAGTGGTCAGCATGAGCATGTTGTCTGGGAATGACTGCACCACCTGAGATTAGCCAGGACCTGGCCGGGTTTTGAGTTTCCACTGTGTACAATAGGGAGGTGGGGCCCCAGGTGTGTTAGAGGTGAGGGAAGACCTGGATGCTGGGGAGGAGGAAGGTTGCCAGGGGCTCCTCTGACTCCAGGGGAGTGGCTTTAAGATGTGCAGGCTACACCACCTTCTGGGAGTGAGCTCTTTCTGCTGTCAGTCCAGCTTCAGCCAAACCCATCTGTAGAAGAAAGGAAGCTCTGATGGTACAGTTTGTAGGGAGTTGAGGTGTTATCCCAACAGCTACACCTCTCTGGTGGTTCAGCTCTGTGCAGAAAGATGGACAATCTCCTCCTGTGCGTTTACAGCCTTGGAAAACTTGCTGGTGGGTCAGCTGTAAGTCAGTTTTGACTCCAAGGAGCAATGAATTTTTGTATTTATAGTACATGTGATGGGTGACATTTAGTCCCAGTCCTCATGTGGTCCTTGCTTCATGGTTCAGGGACTCAAATGTATACTCTGCTTCAGAATAAACCATGTCAGGTGTTCACTTTGGTTCTACGGAGTTCACAACCAAATGATGAACGTCCCCTTAAAGAGGCAATGGGAGTGTGTCGAGAGTAGGCTTGAGAAGCGGTAGAGAGGTGGCAATGAGGTGGGGATGAAGTGAGTTCAAGGTTTCTCAGAAGGCACTGGAGCTGAGTTTGGAGGATGGACTGGCAAACCGGTCCAATGGCCCTTAATCCTGGCTGCCTATTAGAATCAGACAGGGAATCTATAAAAATATCCACATGCTTGGGGCTACCCCAGACTAATAATAATGGAATCAGAACCTCAGGGCATGAGTCTAAGGCATAGGTATTTTTTTAATAGGTATTTTTTAAGCTTTCTTCTTCACCAGGTGATTTCAACGTGGTTCTGGGATTCCACGTGGGCTGAGTAGGACAGAGGTATCCTCAGAGAAAAGGGCACTCTCTCACTAGGCTAGAGGTCAGGTGCAAATGCCCAGAGCCGAGGCTTAAAAGAGTCTGTGGCTCCGGTTGCAGGTCAGCATAGGGTCTTGCAGGGCTTTCCACATGAGCAGCATCTCGTAGGGCACGAAGCGGTGCACCACGAGCAGCTCACGGTACATGCACGGATCGAAGGAGAGCTCGTGAGCGCCTGGCAGGTTCACCCCGAAGGGCCGGATGCCTTGGTGGCCGCTGGGCGCCAGGCCCGCTCGCTGCAGGCACATGCCCAAGTAGGCATCATCGATGGGGAAGAGCGGCGTGTCATGGGCAGCCTGGCGCAGGGCCTCAGCCGTGTGGCTGGACAGGAGGAAGCCGCCGCCGCTGCAATACACCGGGTAGACCTCCCCGGGGAAGAGCTGTGGGGGCACAAAGTACTTGCTTTTTCTATCGCGAATGGGCACCGAGCCGTACATGAGCTGCCCGGTGAAGAGGTGGAGGTCGGGCGACTGCGCCTCCAGAAAGCTCAGCACGTTGGTGGTGTGCACAAAGACGTCGTCGTCGCCGCTGAGCAGGAAGCGCGCCTGCGGGCAGCGCGCAGCCACCCAGTCGAGCAGGTGCACGTGCTTGAGCGACAGGTTGAGGAAAGTGTCAGCAAAGCCCCACTGCAGCACGTCGCCGTGCTCGCGCGCCTCCAGCCTCACTAGCTGGTCCAGCTGCCAGGCGCGCTCGGGTGAAGCGGGCCGGCCCAGCAGGAAGACGCGGCGCACGCGCAGTCCGCCGTAGCTGCGCTCCTGCCCCCACGTGCGCCGGATGAGCTCCCGCTGCTCGTAGTTCCCAGGCTTTGACTTCACCGCCAGCAGCAGGAAGACGGTGCCATTGCCCGCGCACTTGGCCGGCGCGTCCCAGAGCAGCGGGAAGTGCTGGCAGTGGCGGTACCGCAGGAAGTTCTGGATCCGGGCGGGCAGCAGCTGGAACTCGGGCGTGGCGTTCACGGAGGCGTTGGCCACGCACGGAGGTCCTGGGCTGGGCGCCGAGGGCTGACTACCCTCAGGCACTGGAGTCGGGCCATCCCTCGGGAGATCCCGCCTCACCGTCTGCTGGGACCGCTGGGTTTGGAGGAACCACAAGTGTAGTGTCAAGAAAGTCAGGCCTACTAGAAGCAAGACCAGGGTCTGGAGCTTTATGGACCTGTGCCAGGGGAAGGCCATCTGTGGGGAAAACCGAGTCAGAGGTGAGCGGAGAATAGTTTGACAGCATACTCCCGTCTTCCCTGTCACGCCTCTGACAGAACCTAGCCCTTTCTCTGTTGATGAGAAACAATCAGACCTTGAGATTACACACCAAAAAGCACCCCACTTTCCCTATGCCTTACTGTTCCCAGAACACAAACTTCTCATTGTCAGACCTGTGCATCTCATTACCTCCTGGACATCCCCCTTTCTTGGCCTGGCTCCCTCGTGACCAAATTCTCTTATCTTCCGTGTACGTCATCCTGCATTTTCCACTGTGGTAAGTGGTCCCCCCACGCACCCGGGTTCTCATTCCAGAAGCACTGATTCCTGTCATTCCGCACTCTCCACATGCATTACACATCACACACGTTCTTTCTCCATCCCTGTCCAGGCTTGCCGTTCATCAGTCCCCTCCCTCATTGCCATTAACAGTCAGGAAAGCCCATGGTGATCATAATGGATGCAGACCATTATGGCTTCACCCCTCCAGGCTGCTCTGTTTTTAACAATTTCAAATTTCTAGGTCTAGATGTTTTTATAAAAAAGGGTGAACAGATTCCTGTTTTGCAGGGGGGGGAGGTTTGTGAGTATTAAATTAGATACAATGTAACAACGTTTGGCATTAGGCTTCTAGGAAGATGGAAGAAAAAAAAAAAGCTTTAAAATCCTGACCCTCACAATGAGAACGGAGCACTGGTGGCCTAGTTGAAAGCAGCTGCACTGCAGTCATGAAGGCACACAGTTCAAATCCACCAGCTGCTCTGAGCGGGGAGGATGGGCAGTCTCCTCCCATGCAATTAACTACCTCTGAAAACCTGCCAGAGGGTCAGCTATAGGTCAGTTTTGACTATGGTATGTAAAAACAATAAGAATCCACAAGATGCTCTGCTGGAGAAGGAGGGACAATCTCCTCCTGTACCCATCAGATCTGACTTGATGGTACACATAAAAAACCAAAAAATTTTAAAAATCAACAAGAATAGCAATAAAAAGCAACTAGAATTCTGTATAGGGAACTCTGGTGGCCTCTTTAAGGTGCCGTAGGGTTGAGTATGACCTATAGTGACCCTGTGAACAACATATCTGTACCCTGTCCAATCATGTGCCATCCTCATAATTTCTGACAGGATTGAGTTTACTTCAGTCACTGTGTTAGTTTATCTGGTTGAAGTTCTCTTCTGCCAACACTGCCATCTTTCCAAGCGTGATGTCCTTCTCCAAGGAATAGCCTTTCCTAGTAACATGCCCAAAGTATGTGAAATGAAGCGTTGTCATTTTTGCCTCCAAGAAGCACTCTGGCTGCACCTTCTCCAAGACGTATATTTGGGGTTTCTTTGGCAGTCATGGGATATTCAGGACTCCTCTCTAGCAACGTAGCTCAAAGGCTTCAATTCTTCTTCCGTCATCTTTATTCACTGTCCAGCTCTCAAGTATTGAATCAGGCATATCTTAGTCCTCAAACTGGCTTAGTGGTAAGGAACTGCACTGCTAACCCAAAGGTATGTGATTTGAATCCACCAGCTGCTCTGAAAGAAAGATGGCCAGTCTCCTCCCATGTGATATATTGCTTCCAGAAATGTGCTGGAGAGTCAGCTATGAGTTGGTTCCAACTTGATGGGACCCAACAACAGAATTCTGTATATACCTACTCCTCACTTACCTATCTTGTTGTTGGACATTTCAGTTTACAACAGTAGTAGGAAATTTGCCAATCAAGTATTTTGTTAATTTATAATAGCAGTTAAAAAATGGTGAGGTAGAAGGTGGACAATGATAGTGAACGCTCTCTGTCAGCTTGGCAGGGCTGTGATTCGCAGTGTTTTAGCAATTATATAAAAATTAAATTTGGCAATTAAGCAGTATTGCGGCCTTCTTCCATTTGGTGATCTGATGTGGTCATCTTCTATTTCACGTAATGCCAGTTTCATATAACAACCTCATCTTTGGAACCATGCTCCAATAGGCAAAGAATGGGTGTACCACCCTGAAAGAAGTCTGTAATGATGTACTTAGCAGCAAAGAATTGAAAACCATATAAAATGAGGGTAAACCATAAGGTAGGGAAATTACAAATTGCTAAATGAAGTTCTTCAGATAGAAAAGAAAGAACACTAGACAGCTACTCAAAGGTGGACACGAGAAAATAAAAATTCTTCCCTCCAAAAAACTCAACCCACCACCATTGAGTAGGAACCAACAACCCTATAAAGTAAAAACTCCATTACCACAGAGTTGATTCAGACTCAGGGTGACCCAACATTGAGTTTCTGAGTGTGTAGATCTTAACAGAAGACTTTTTTCACAGTAGTCTTTGTCCGCAGAGCTACTGGTGGGTTCGAACTGCCATCTTCTGGAATTAGCAGCCGAACATTCAGCCTACTACATTCCTAGGGCTCCTTAGCAACCCTCTAGTTGTGGACATTTAAAGGGGACCTATCCATTTTCATAGTTATTTTTAGGGCTAAGTGTTTTCATTTGATAATTTTAATTGTTCTATAAACTTTATGAATAAATGAATAAGAAAGAAAGGTAAGTTTATGTTAATGGGTATCTGAGGCATAAGGCGCAATTGGTGGCAACAGATATGGGGGGAGGAACAATATAGAAGTTGAACCTTTGTATATTACTGAAGTTAGTAGGTGCCAAGTTAAACTAGGTGGTGAACATATGGTGTGAGATTAGTTTTTACATTTAACACAAAGTATTTTAAAAATGTTATAGTAGATAAGAAGGAAATAAAAAGTTCTAAGACAAAGATCAGTCACCAAACACAATGACACAAGTGCAGGAATGAGAATGCAGGTGACGCTGTGAACAACAAATCTGAACCTTGTCCTATCCTGAGCCATCCTCATGACATCCATCATGCTCAAGCCCATTTTGGTAATCACTGTGTCAATCTATGTTGTTGAATTTCTTCCTCTCTTTTGATGATCCTTTACCTTTCCTAGCAAGATTTCTTTTTCCAAGGACTAGTTCCTTCTGAAAAGAAGTCAAAAGTCAGTGAGGTTAGGTTTCCACATCCTTGCCTCTAAAGAGCACGCTGGTTGTGCTTCCTTCAAAACAGATTTGCTTGTTCTTTTGGCAGTTCATGGGATATTCAGGACTCTTTGCCACAATTAAACAATATTGATTCTTCTTCTGTCATCTTTATTCATTGTCCAACTTTCAGAAGCATAGGAAGCAATTGAAAATAACATGGCTAGAATCAAGCATACCTTAGTCTTTAAACTGACATCCTTGCTGTTGAGAATTTTGGAGAGTCCCTTAACAGCGGACCCCTCCAATGCAACATGTCTTTGGATTTTTTTTTAATGGCTGCTGCTGTTATTATGTACCATTGAGTCACCTGCAACTCATATTGATCCTATGTATAACAGACCTAAAGCCTGCTCTGTCCTGTGCTAGTCTCACTGCCTCTGACACATCTACCCCCATTACCCCAGTCATTGTATCAGTCCATCTCATATAGGGTCTTCCTCTCTTGCACTGTCCCCCCACCCTCCCAAGCATGACATCCCTTGCAACATGTCCTGAATATGTCAGACGAAGCTTCAGAATTCTTGCCTCCAAGAAGCAGCTGGGTCTCACTCTCTCCAGGAAGAACCTGTTTGTTCTCTTAGCAGTACATGGTATATTCAGTACTCTTCTCCAGCACCACAGCTCAAATGCATCAATTCTCCTTCTATCAACCCTAGTCATTGTCCAGCTTTCTGATGCATAGCAAGTAATCACAAAGACTATGGCTTGAATCAGGTGCACCTTAGTCTCCAGACGGACATTGTTGCTCTTCAGTGCTTTGGAGTGGTTTCTGACAGCAGACTTTCCCAATTCAATCCATCTTTTAATTTCCTGGCTGATGGTACCTAGAGTATTGATTGTGAAGCCAAGCAAACTAATGCTGTTAATAATCTCAATCTCTTCACCATCTATCATGATGCTGCCAGTTGGTCCAGTGGTGAGAATCTTTGCTTTCTTGATGTTGAGCTTCCATGTTGATTTTAGATCCAAGTAACATCAAATCATTGACAACTTCAATCTTTTTTTCCATCTGTCATGATGTTGTCTCTTAGTCCAGTGGTGAGGATTTTTGTCTTGATGTTGAGGTGTAACTCATATTGAAAGCTGTAGTCTTTGATCTTCTAAAGAAGTCCTTCAAGTGTTCTTCACTTTCTGCGAGCAAAGTTGTATCATTTGCACAGTTCAGGCTGTTGTTCAGTCTTCAATCCTTACACTACATTCTTCTTCTATAGAGTCCCGCTTCTCAAATTATTATCTCATCAAAGAAGTTGAATGGAGAAAAAGATGTAATCCTGATGCATACCTTCTCTAATTTCAAACCGTGCAGTGTTCTCTTGTTCTGTTCAGATAATTACTTTTTGGTCTAGGCCTGGGTTTCACGTGAATGTAATTAAGTGTCAGAAGCATGACTTTCATTTTCAGCAATTACCTTAAATTGAAATGAATTAAATTCTCCAAGTCAGAGTGACAGAATGGATTTTAAAAACACACTCCATCTGTATGTGTCAGAGACACGTGTTAGGTCTAGGGCCGGAGACTGAATGTAAAAGGATGGGAATGAATAATTCATGCAAATAATAATCCAAATAAAGTTGGAATAGCTATATTTATATCATGGGAACAGACTTCACGTTAAAACTCTGTCATAACAAATGAAGATGGACATTATGTAATAACAGTTATAATTTAATAACGGTTATTAATTGAGAAAGCATAAATACATGTGCATGTAATAGCAAAACATCAAACCTACTCTTTTTCAAACT